ATCTCTTCCGATCCACGCCCTTATAGCATCCGCTGAAACCCAATACTTCCTCTCGGCAAAGATATATAAGCCTCCAACAGGGCCAGAAATAAATAGTCACTTCACTATCAGCGGAAGCCCTCGTCTGTTGTGTCAAAGGTCCACCTAATCGACCATGTAGAACAGTAAGAACTCTTCTATCTTTATCTTTCGCTCCTAGCTCGACTTTTATCTATTCACGGAACTTTCCTAGTACAACTGTGTAATTCGTTTTTGTGTATGGACATTCCCAAGTCTTCCACTCTGCCTCGACCACGACTGCCTGTACTCTGTGACAACTGTTAAAGGTCTTCCAAGGTACAGAGAGGTACTGGAAAACTCTCCACATCCTGACTGCCCCTCTCGGTTAGCACAGTAGAGCGAGAGTCGACAGGATCCCACACCATAGATTAAGTCGACAGGTTCTCACATCGCATATATATATATATATATATTGAAAATAGAGAAATCCATATTTAATTCGTTAGATAATAACAAGGCATATATTAAATTTAATAAAATATTTATTTTTCCAATATTTCGGCTGGCTGAACGCCAACCTTTATCGAGGCATTGCATCTTTGTATACACAAACTCAGCGCCGCATAGTGTTATAATATCACAGTTGAAATCAATTAAAATACAAAGTAGGTGGGAGAAAACGTCACAAACGTGTCTGGAGACGTCCTGGGTAGTGCATAGATCTTGGTCTTACTTTGAGCCCCACATAGGCCACAACAAGGCGTTATCGTCTGAGCTGTCATTTCATTTGATAGCAGGATTCCATTGGTAGTCATTCCTGACACCCTGACATCACAACGGTACGTAGATAACATTCTACGACTTTTTTTGAGGCCGTTCCTCTCACATCACCCCGTGCATATCTTTCAACAAGATAATGTCCTGCCACACACGGTAAATTTTACTATGGATTGTCTTTAATCTTACAGAACTCTTCGGTGGCCAGCAAGGTCGTCTGATCTCTCACACATAGAGAACATCTGGGACGTGATAGAAAGCCGTTTGCAACCATCTCGGAATGTTAACTATTCAGCCCGAAGGTTGTAGACAATTTGACAAGAAATCCGCAGAAAACCATCCGAAATCTTTATCAGTCCATGATATGCCGGATGACAGCCTGCATCCAGGCCAGTGTGGGTCCAACGACATATTGACTTCATCAATTTGTGACGATAAACTCTGTTTAAGACGATTAATTCTTCTGAAAATTTAATCGTTTTTCTCCTATCCATGTTATTCGCATACACCGTTTTGTCCCAATATGACAATTAATTCTTGGTACATCGAAATATTTGTTATAGAGTGTATTTAGAAAAACCTGCTTTTTCTCTTTACAGATCACAGCCTCCCTCCCTGAAAACATTTTTTATAAATTTAATCACCAAATTGTAAATAATCACAATTACCTTTGTTTAATTTTCTTTTTGATTTTTATAACAATTAACTTAGAATGTCAATAAAATATATTGGATTGTCAAAAATATTTGTCTTCATAGATCTTGGTACGTTTTTAAAATATACATTATAAAATAAAATATAAAATGTATAAAATGTATAAATGTATAAAATGTATAAAATATACATCATTTTTAATTTCTATTAAAATTATTTATATTAGTTGATACTGTTACAATTAGTGTTTCTTATATACAAGGTGCGTTCATTAATTTCCAGGACTGCTCTGTATCTTTGAAAAATAAAACAAATAAAAAAAACTAATTTAATATTTTTCAAAATATGCCCCTCCTGCCTCAATACACCTGTTCCATCTTTTTTTCCAATTATCGAAGCAGGATATAAAATCACTTTTTGAGAGGTTCCTCAAGGTTGCCTTCGATTCAGCTTGTATCATATCAACGTTGTCAAATTTCCTTCCCTTTAACTTCATTTTCAATTTAGGATAGAGGAAAGAGTCATTGGGGGCTAAGTCGGGGGAATAGGGTGGATGAGGGATCTGTATGGTTGAATGCTTGGCCAAGAACTGCAAAACAACATGGGCTGTGTGCTGCCGCGCATTATTGACGTGAAGTATCCAGTCATTGTTTTGCCATCTTTCAGGTATTTTAAGGTGCACTGCCTCCCTTAAGCGCCTCATTATCCCCAAATAAACCTCTTGATTAATTGTACGTCCGAAAGGAATAAATTCATGGTGAACCAAACCATTAATATAAAAAACAATGGTTGCCTGTAAAGTCGGTTTTACGGGCGAAGATTTTACGTGACAACGGTAGAATATTTATTGATATGAATATAATTAAATTGCACAATAGGAACAAGGAATTGAATGAAAATAAGAATTGCACAAATTTTAACTATAGAAATATATTTTGTTTACTAAAACATTGTACATGTAAACTTAAACTTAACTAATTCCTATTTGAGTGATTTTGTTGAGGATAGGACGATGATAGGAGAAATATGAAATGAAAGGAAGTGTTTCTGCTGTAATGTGTTTTGCGAAAGTCAAGTCGATAGTTGTTCCTTTTAACGTAGTTGACTTAGATACGTTTGATACGCAATCAAGATTATACGTATTTTTCATGAAATTAAGAAACGAGTTGTCAGGCTTTACGTTTTTGTTAAAATCACCACACAGAAGAATCGGTATACTAGAATCAACTTGCACGAACGGTGGCACGTACTGGCTGTTGTGAATGTACGGACCGAGTCCTTGCCATAGTAACATTCCAATATCCTGCATACTAGCTCCTGGATGAATATATACAGCACCGAGTATAAACTTGAAGCTAGTATTAGCGGCGAAGCAAGTAACTTCAGTCATGCACATGTCACCCTTGGTTTTAATGACACGTGTTACGTCTGTAATCGCAACTTGGAACACTTCCGCCGTAGATGTCGATGATAATTTACGATAGATCGCCACTCCACCAGCCGCGTTGGTATCTGAGTTAGGTCGATTATTTTCCCTGGATACGCACTCATAACCCTTGATTGGAGTTGGTTCACAAGTGTCGCGCATCCACGTTTCAGTCAATACTAAATAGTCTGATCGTGGTATCACTGTATCTGTTTCAATGTCCGCGGCATGGGCACTTAAACTTTGACAGTTGATGTTCGTTACAATAAGTTGTCCAGCGTCGGTTGCGTCGTCACAGAATTTTACGGCTTGTTTGGTAATTGTGTCTAGAGTGTGTCCACGAAGTCGTAAGTATTCATTGCGAATATCTCGAGTAGTCTGTGAGTCGTTTCCATCTCGGCCATGTTTGAAAACCAATGGAGAGTCCTTTTAATTTTAAAGAATCAATTTGAAAATCAAAACACTTATTCAGATCGAAGGTTCAAATTTTTGCTAAATAAATTTGAAAATAAATAAAATTTGTAATTGTAAATGATGAAGTTGAAAATTAAAACATTTACTTATATTAGATGTTAAAATTCTTGCTCAACACAGTTTAAATAAAGTTTTCTTATATCTGCCACTTTTTCTTAATATTTGTAATTTTAAAGAATCAATTCGAAAATCAAAACATTTATTCAGATCGAAGGTTCAAATTTTTGCTAAATAAATTTGAAACTATTTAAAATTTGTAAAATAATAATTAATTAATTAATTAATTTTAAACTAATAATTTACTTAACACTATCAACATTTATCAATAGTATGACATAACCTATAAACTCAGTTTCTCAACTTTTGTGTCAATCTAACAATTAATCAATCAATCATAGTTTACGATAATGAAATATCAGTGTACAATTATTTACCTTTATTGTTGTAGTTGTTGTAAATGACGAATCTAAGCACTCCACATTTTCACTACAGACACAGCTGACGATACTTTAACCACACGTGTGAACTTGTATTATGACGCTTTCTTGTTTTTCCAACGCCAAGAACGTTCGAGAAAGACAAACATGCGCCGATTCAATGCGCCTAATTCTCTAGCGCAGCACTCTCGTTCGGTGACTCATCGTAACGTTACCGGGCGTTACACTTTTTCATAAGTGACTCCCAGCCGCAACCTAATTTAAGACGTTGTCACGTCAAAAATGTAACAAGCAATGTCTTGACTTTGGATTTTGTAAATCTTGCCTTTTTTGGGTTTCGGTTCCCCTCTTTCAATCCATTGGCTGGGTTGACGTTTGGTTTCCGGGTCATACTGATACACCCATGTCTCATCCCCGGTAATGATTTTTTGCATCCATTCTGGATCGGTCCGAGTCATTTCAACCATGTTTTTGCAGATATCCATTCTAACCTCCTTTTGTTCCTCTGTTAGAATCTGGGGAACAAATTTTGAAGATGTCCGGATCATGTCCAAATCTTTTGTTACTATTTGATGACACAGTCCTACAGATAGTCCAGTCTCTGAAGATAAGTCTTTAATAGAAATTCTTCTGTTAGATTTAATTAATTCCTTTATTTTGAGCTTGTTTTCCTCGCAACGTAATGATCTTCGACGCCCAGTATGCTGATCATCGTTTACCTTTTCCCGACCTTTTAGGAAGCGTGAAAACCATTCAAAAGTTCTTGAACGGGATAAAACTGCATCGCCAAAAGCTTCTTTAATCAATCCATACGTCTCAGTATCACTTTTTTTTCAATTTAAAACAAAACTTAATGCAGATTCTCTGCTCTTCGAAAATGGCCATTTTAAAATTAGAAATGCGAACCTTACAAGGAAGTTGTTTTGTTCTATTTTTAGATCGGCGCGTGCGCCACGAGACTCGTGCTTTCAGTCAGGTGTGGTCGAATGTCCAATATTTAACTCTGTATAAAAAAATTTTCTTTAGCTTTTTTTATTTATTTTATTTTTTAACCAGTCCTGGATATTAATGAACGCACCTTGTATATACTAGCCGAATGACCCGGGCAACGCCCGGGTTTTACCCGATTAAATGCTTTTATTCAAATACTATTCGTTACAATTATAAATATGCGCCGTGGATGTCATTCTTGTATAATATATAAATGCGTTTTAAATTATTGTAAAAAAAAATGCATTGGCCGGGAATCGAACCCGGGCCGCCCGTGTGGCAGGCGAGCATTCTACCACTGAACCACCGATGGTTATGAGAAATGGCCATATTTGTGTATTTATTCCATTCACAAAGCAAACGGTGACAGAATTGATTAAGAATTGTTGCTTGATTATGACGCTGATAACTGTATATATTAATAAACAGAGTTGACTACTCTAGTAGTCGTAACAATTTTTTTATTTTATTATCATTTACAAAGCACGCGATATCCGTCTTGGATATTTGCATGCATACACACGTTTGGTAGCTTATTTACAGTAATTATTAATATGAATTTAGTTATTGTAATAGAAATTATTAACATATTTGTCAGTTAGTTAACGATTTAAAGTAGTAGATTTAAGTAGTCGTAACAATGGTGTTTCTACCTATCAACATATATAATTGCGCGCATGTATATTTCACAACTTATACTAAGAAAATGTTTTTATCTATTGTATGCTTAATGAAAAACGAATATCGTATATTATATTCTACTATACATATATAATTGCTATATATAAATATTTAAAATATAACAAAAACCTTTCTTTATACAGTAGAACCTCTATAAGAGAATACTCACGCTAGACGACTCCTCTCTACAAAGTTATTCCATTCACAAAGCAAACGGTGACAGAATTGATTAAGAAAGAATTGATTATGACGCTGATAACTGTATATATTAATTAACTTTAATAAACTTAATAAAATACGAAAGTATTTTCTCTCTCTTACACATACACGCTTTCGATATCAAATCAATTAATCCATATAAACACTTGCTGTACCGTACTTCAGTTTGTGCGTAGGATGCTGGGGACTGACCCTTTAGTACAATATAACCATAGCTCATTATATTGTCTGGATTACACAGCAATATATATTGAGGTATTTTTAATCAATCAGAATTTATAAAATACCAGACAGTTTCACAGACTATAACAAAATATCTGGTTCAAATTCATATAAATAGGTACCGCTCAGCAAGAGCAACCTAGTTCATGATAATTGAACAATGAATAATATGTGAAAGTTATTCACATATTAAACAAAATTTTAACGTGGGATTCAATACCGGTTCATGACTGTCGGAAATCGAGGGTGTTACCCACTCGTCCACCGACTTTTATATAATAAAATATGAATATTAGCATTTTTATCAGTTCATAAAATGATAAATATGTATCCACCATATGTATCCACATATATTATAATTAGATAATAAAAAAGCATATATTGGATTTAATAAAATATTTTTTTGCTAATATATCGGCTGGCTGAACGCCAACCTTTATCGAGGCATTACATTTTTGTATACACAAACTCAGCGCCGCAAAAATGTGATGCCTCGATATAGGTTGGCGTTCAGCCAGCCGAAGTATTGGCAAAATAAATATTTTATTAAATCGAATATATGCCTTTTTATAATATAATGAAATAAATATGGATTGCACTATTTTCAAAACAATATATTATAATATTCCTTTCATGGAAACAGAAACGGTGTATACGCACTCAACCATCTAATATTGGAACATAGAATAGGATTGACTCTAATTTTTATACATTTCTCATTTAATATAGATTTATTCAAATCAGTATACTCCTCAATATACAAATTTCTACTGCATTATAACATGTTTTATTCCTTTTATCCTTTTTCTAAATATTGGTTTCCACCTCTGTAATAGCGTGGAATTTCCTGTTACAATCTTGTAATGTAATTTATATTAAAATTTTCTACGTGGTGCAATCCAAATTAAAAGCAAAATGGCAATTTATATGTAAATTAAATAAATTGCATCACAACGCACACCTCTCGTTCTAATAAATATTAACTAATAGATTATTTCGATATAGGTTAAATGGAAATAGAAATCTGGACATTTCGAAATATGATTAAACAGAGTTGAAAGGATATTTATAAGAAATTCTAAAAAAGTACAAA